AAATCAGAATGAAAAGGGACAAATAACAATAGACACTGAGGAAACCCAGACAATCATTAGGTCATACTTCAAAAAACTGTACTCCACAAAATTGGAAAACCTAAAAGAAATGGACAAATTTCTTGATAGATACCACATACCAAAATTAAATTGAGACCAGATAAACTATTTAAATAGACCTATAACCCCTAAGGAAAAGAATCAGTCATTAAAAGTCTCCCAACTATAAAAAGCCCAGGGCCAGATGGTTTCAGCACAGAATTATACCAGATTTTCAAAGAAGAGCTAATACCTATACTCCTCAAAATATTCCACAAAATAGAAACAGAAGGAACATTGCAAAATTCTTTTTATGAGGCCACAGTCACTCTGATACCCAAACCACACAAAGATGCAACCAAGAAAGAGAATTACAGAACAATTTCCTTTATGAACATTAATGCAAAAAAACTCAATAAAATGCTGGCAAACCAAATCCAAATTGAAAAGATCATCATCAAATAGGCTTCATCCCAGGGATGCAAGGATGGTTTGACATACGAAAATCTGTCAATGTAATCTACCATATAAACCACTGAAAAGAAAAAAAAGAGATCATCTTATTAGATGCTGAAAAAGCCTTTGACAAAGCCCAACATCCCATCATGATAAAAGTCTTGGAGAGGCCGGGTGGTGGTGGTGCACGCCTTAAGTCCCAGCACTTGGGAGGCAGAGCCAGGCGGATCTCTGTGAGTTCGAGGCCAGCCTGGTCTCCAAAGCGAGTTCCAGGAAAGGCGCAAAACTACACAGAGAAACCCTGTCTCGAAAAACAAAAAAAAAACAAGAAAAACAAAAAAAAAGTCTTGGAGAGATCAAGGATACAAGGAATATTCCTAAATATAATAAAAGCAATATACAGCAAGGCAACAGCCAATATCAGATTTAATGGAGAGAAACTCAAAGCAATTCCACTAAAACCAGGAACAAGACAAGGCTGTCCATTCTCTCCATATCAATTCAATATAGTACTTGAAGTTCTAGCTAGAGCAATAAGACAACAAAAGGAAATCGAGAGAATACAAATTGGAAAAGAAGAAGTCAAGGTATCACTATTTGCAGATGACATGAGAGTATACATAAGAGACCAGAGAAATTCTGCCAGGGAAGTCCTACAGCTGATAAACACCTTTAGTGAAGTGGCTGGATACAATATTAACTAAAAAAATCAGTAGCACTCTTATCAATGAAAAGGCTGAGAAAGAAATCAGGGAAACAACAACCTTCATAATAGCCACAAATAATATAAAGTATCTTGGGGTAACTCTAACTAAGCAAGTGAAAGGCCTGTATGACAAGAACTTCAAGTCTTTGAACAAAGAAATTGGAGTAGATATCAGAAGATGGAAAGATCTCCCATGATCACAGGTTGGTAGGATTAACATAGTAAAAATGGCTGTCTTACCAAACCTACAGATTCACCATAAAATTTCAACATAATTTTTTTTTTCAAGACAGGGTTTCTTTGTGTAGCCCTGACTGTCCTGGAACTAACTCTGTAGATAGGCTGGTCTTGAACTCACAGAGATCTGCCTGTCTCTGCCTTCCAAGTGCTAGGATTAAAGGTGTGTGCCACCACCACCTGGCTCAACATAATTCTTTACAGATCTTGAAAGAATAATACTCAACTACATACGGAAAGACAAAAAACAAAACAAAAAAAAAACCCCAGGATAGCTAAACCAATCCTGTACAATAAAAGAACTTCCGGCGGTATCACCATCCCTGATCTCAAGCTCTACTAAAGAGTTATAGTAATAAAAATGGCATGGTATTGGCACAGAAACAGCCACATGGATCAATGGAATTGAATTGATGATCCAGACATAAATATATAGATCTATAGACACCTGATAGTTGACAAATAAACCAAAATTATACAATGGAAAAAAGAAAGCATTTTCAACAAATGGTGCTGGCATAACTGAATGTTGGCATGTAGAAGAATGCAAACAGATCCATATTTATCACCCTGAGCAAAACTCAAGTCCAAGAGGATAAAAAACCTCAACATAAATCCAGTTATACTGAACTTGATAGAAGAGAAAATGGGAAATAGCTTTGAATTCACTGGCACAGGAGACAACTTCCTAAATAGCACAGACTAGCACAGACACTAAGATTGACAGTAAATGGTACTTCATGAAACTGAAAAGCTCTGTAAGGCAAAGGACATTGTCAATAGACCAAAATGGCAGCCTACAGAATGGGAAAAGATCTTCACCAACCCCCCATTCAACAGAGGGATGATCTCCAAAATATATAAAGAACTCAAGAAACTAGACATCACAAAACCAAATAATCCAATTAAAAATGTGGTGCAGGGGCTGGGCAACACTGGCGCATGCCTTTAATCCCAGCACTCGGGAGGCAGAGCTAGGCAGATCTCTGTGAGTTGGAGGCCAGCTTAGTCTACAGAGTGAGATCCAGGACAGGCACCAAAACTACACAGAGAAACCCTGTCTTGAAAAACAAAAACAGAACAAAACAAAACAAAATGTGGTACAGACTTAAACAGAGAATTCTCAACAGAAGAATCTCAAATGGCAGAGAAACACTTAAAGAAATGTTCAACATCCTTAGCCTCCAGGGAAGTGCAAATCAAAATGACTCTGAAATTGCATCTTACACCTGACAGAATGACTAAGATCAAAACCACTGAGGACAGCTTATGTTTGAGAGCATGTGGAATAAGGGTATCACTCCTCCACTGCTGGTGGGAGCATAAACTTGTACAGCTACTATACATGATTTCAGGTTTGAGTCTTTATCAGGTAAGTAGGAATTAAGTTTTTGTATTCTGGATGTTTATAACAAATATTGATCCTTTAACCTCTCTGAGATGTGCTCAAACATCTAAAGTGTTTAAGTTTTCTGCAATGAACCATGACTACACCTAACAGCAACCTTTGAAGTCTCCAAAAGGATGGGCCCCACAACAATTCCCCCAGAACTATGATAATACCACTAAGCTCACAAACACCACCCAAAGATCAGCTTTGTACAAACTGCAAACTGCTCAGGACAAATTTGAGGTGACTAGCTGAGATGATCCAGCATCACAGACTACTCTAGCCAGGACCTGAACAAGCCCTGCACTTTCTCATTACACAGAGACTAGATAACAAATGATACAGCTACCCCTCCCAGGATTTGACAATTAACTCCAAGTTTTCTTTTCAGGACCCCTAAAGATGCCATTACCCCCAGACATCAGGAAGTAAACTTAAGAACATGCCACCCCCATTTCCAGGAGGTGGGGTCAGTGGTTTTCTGTCTTTCAATGGGTCATGAGTATTTGTCATCATTTAGGGTGTTAGGTTATAAGTTGTTATTGGTAATGGTCAGGAAAAAAGATGAACAAGGAGTTTAGGTTCAAGATTCTTGTTTTAAAAAGAACAAAAGGGGATATAGATATGATAAGATAGAAGGGTAGATTATTGAATCTACTCTAAAAGAAACGGGGGATATAGAAATAAAATAAAAAGGTGGATTATTGAATCTACTTTTAAACCAAAAAAAGCAACTACTATATTTAAATATTTTACATTGACATGGATCTTTGTATACTGATACAAATTTGAAATTGATTTTGTTAGAACATACTGTACATCCATTTCTACTCTTGCTCAAGGTACTGTACCTATACAACTCATTTAACAATGTCCTTAAAAGTTATTATTACCAACTATTTAGAATAATAAGGAAATGCATGTTAGTAATTATTCACCTATTACAATTGAACTTGTAGTCATGTTAGGTATGTTTTCAAGGTGAAACAAGAGATATATTTTAGATAGACAGGTCACCTTCAAACACTTCGGAGATCTACAGACTATGGCATTTAACGCTTTAATAACATAGGTTTTTTTTATGATAATGAGATGTCTGCTCCTGGCAGCACCAATCTACTTTAGAGATGATGGACATCAAAGAAACTCCATATGGAGTTTGCTTTCTTTGTGGCAAAAGTTAGCCACTGTGTAAGAAAATGTCCTTGCCTTGACTGCTGACAATATGCTGTCCAAAATGGACAAGCAGGATGCAAAATAAAGGACTGCTGAACTTTGCCAAGACAAGGTAGGACAGCCCTTCAGAATATCCTGTTTTACAGAACTCTGTCAGATATGCTAGGCCTGTAGGCCAAAGATGGATGCCCCAATGTTACAGATGAATCTTTGGTGACTGTCCAGGCAGTCAAATGTTTCTGTCATTTTTCACATTTTTTGGAAGTTGCTTGCTTGCACTTCCTGCCTACTCAGGTAATATTTCCGTTTTGGGTCTTGGATGGAGTTGAAGACTTTATTATTATAGTTATAATTTTCCTTGTTACTAGATTCAGAAAAGAAATTCATTAAAGAGGTATAAAGTGTATAAAGATAGACATCAAAAGATAGTTTGGGGTTGGTAATACAAGTTAGGATAGGAAGTGAATTGGGTATAGCACTTTGGATTCACCAAAATAGGATAGATAATGGAGTCTTTTCTCTGAATTTGCCAAATGTTTATGGACTAGACATTGTTGATGTATTTATTGCCTCTATATATTGTATATAGTTATTGAACTTATTGTATATAGTTTTTCTTATATTAGTTATAACCTTTTTTATTTTAGACAAAAAGGGAGAAAAGTGGTGATATTTTGTTTGTGCTCTAACAAATAAAGCTTGCCTGGAGATTAGAATGTAGATCCAACCACTAGAGGCCAGGCGGTGGTGGCACACACATTTAATCCCATTACTTGGGATCTCATGCCTTTGCTGCCAGTAATTGGGAGGCATATGCCTTTAATCCCAGTACTTGGGAGGAGGAGGAAGCAGGAAGTGATATGGTTGGTCAGAGAGAGGAAGTGATAAGGCAAGATGGAGACAGGAGCCCTTTCAGTCTGAGGATTCTTAGAGATAAGAAGTCTTTCTAGTGGCTGGCTGTTCTGCTTCTCTGATCTTTCAGCTTTCACCCTGATATCTGACTCCAGGTTTTTATTGTTAAGACCAATTAGAATTCACACTACACACATCTTTGCATCATTAAAACAAATGATTCACAGTAGAAACAAATGTAACACATCTCAAAATAATATTCAACAAACACAGTGTGAATCCTTTCTTGGTATCAATGAGAACTGGATAAACGAAGGCATCAAATATTGCATACAAACCTTGGGTTTCTTACCAGTGTCAGCTATTATTTGAAAGGAATCAGAGCAACTGAAATGTGGAAATCACATTTATTATACTAAGAGAGTCTATTTTCACTATGAGTCTTTTCATGTTTGTGAATGCTACTGTAACGACCAAAGGTTTTCCCACAATGCTTACAAACATAAGGTTTTTCTCCTGTGTGTACTACATCATGACTACGAAGGGAACTAGAAAAAGTGAAGGCTTTCCCACACTGCTTACATGAGTAAGGTTTCTCTCCAGTGTGACTTCTTTGATGTATGTGAACGTAACTGGACTGGGCGAAGGCTTTCCCACAATGCTTACATACATAGAGTTTTTCTCCTGTGTGAACTACAACATGACTTTGAAGGGAACTGGAAAAAGTGAAGGCTCTCCCACATTGCTTACATGAGTAAGGTTTCTCTCCAGTGTGACTTCTTTGATGTATGTGAAGGTAACTGGATTGAGCGAAGGCTTTCCCACAATGCTTACATATATAGGGTTTTTCTCCTGTGTGACTTCTTTCATGTATTTGAAGGTATCTGGATTGAGTGAAGGCTTTCCCACATTGCTTACACACATAGGGTTTCTGTCCTGTGTGACTTCTTTCATGTATTTGAAGGTATCTGGATTGAGTGAAGGCTTTCCCACAATGCTTACATACATAGGGTTTCTCTCCAGTGTGACTTCTCTCATGTACTTGAACATCACTGTGTCTCTTAAAAGATTTCCCACACTGTTTACATTCATGCTTTCTCTCTCTAGTGTGAATCCTTTTATGATTTTGAAGAGAACTGAGATTCCTAAAGGTTTTATCACACTGTTTACAGACATAGGATTTCTCTCTCATATGAATTTGTTCATGCTTCTGAAAGCTTTGGGGAGAACAGAAAGCCTCCCCACATTCCTTATGGCTTCCCACCATGTTCTTTATACATATGAGTTATGCATCTAGTCTGATATCTGAGGGACACATTTAGGGATGAAGGACCAATGAAGTCTTCACACCCAGGGCCTTCACATGGCTTTTCTCCAGTTTTTTGGTTCACCACAGGATCTGGAATCTCTTTGAAGATTTCTTCCCAATGACTACCTTCATAGTCACAGAGCCTCTCTACCACTTGACATCTGCAACAAAAGTAAAGCACATTACAAAATAATTTTACATTATGTCAGGAAAAGCGTAAGCTTTATATCCTGTATAAATTGTGTACAATGATACAGTGAAAGCTCAGTAAGATGGTTTAATTAGTAATAGTCTAAGCAGTGATAATCATGTGGAGTTTCTATGTAATTTTTCCAAAGTTAACTCTATTGCAAACATTGAAAAATCTGTTACATTTAAATATACCTTAAGCGTTCCTCATCTAAAACACAAAGGACAGATGTGTTAGATTTTAAAATATTAGACATACATGAGACCTAAATGCAAACATTCATTTAAGTTTCAAATATACCTTGCATCCAAAACATAAAGGTAACGTCATATAATCTCTTTAATAATTTTGTGTATGAAACAAAGTTTGTATATATTAAAACATCAGAAAGTGTTATGTGTGGTATCATGTTTATACGCAACAGATTCATGTTTAAATTTTTGAATTATAAATGCTCAGTCTGTAGGTGTATTCAAAGATATTTTGAAAACAAATCAGTTTGAAGCTTGGCTTACTTTGCTGTGTTTGTTTGAAATATTTTCTACAATTCCAGGTTTTCTGAGCAGCATTAGTTTTTCTCGTGAGTGCAAATTACCTCAGATTTCCCCTGGGATTCTTGTACTCATTTTCAGTGTTCTGTTCTCCCAATTTCTGTCCTAAAAGTAGACCCAGGAAACCCATTATTATGAGTTATTATGCAAAATTATGATTCAAGTTCTTGTTACACTGTGGTCACAAAGTTTATTCATCTAAGTATTCCATTTTCATATCCCAAGTCATAGAACAACAATGATTGGCAGTAGACATTGTGTGAACAAATTATATACCTCTTACCTATAGCATGCAGGTTCCTGATGGTTTCTCTCATCACAGCTCTGTAGAGATTTTTCTGTAAAGGATTCAGCAAAGTCCACTCCTCCAGGGTGAACTTCACAGCCACATCCTCAAAGGTCACTGACCCCTAAAACATATCACATATGTTTTCAGGAGAAAGGGTGAGATTGACAGTATTGGGGACCTATACTCAATTCACAGGAAATTCTCATGTTACTGGAAATTCTGACATTTATTCTGTGAATTGATTATTATATTCTGACCACTATCACACAATTTTTCTGGTGCTGCATTTGAACACTCCCTTGAAGAAATAACAGAACAGTGACATCTGGTGAGTTGTGATATGTTGTTGGGTCATTCCTAAGGTTTCATTGCATAGCGCTGGTCTGCAGCATGTACTACTCAGTGTACACAACAGTTACTGTCAGAAGTTTAGAGGCTTCAAATTCATTAAATGTAGGTGTTTACACAGTTCCATCTCCTTTACTTGTGTTTAGATGACAGGCTTCATCAGTATAGCTGCCAAAGGAGCTTAATTTGCCAAAACACTTCTTGTATTTGTTTACTAGCTTCCACTCTAAAAGTTGGTGCCTTTTTAGACACTCAGTAGAAAAAGCCTCCTTGGTCAGCCCCCTAATCTTCCTGGGTACCATGTCTAATAAGCTTCTTCTATAGACACATTTTCACACCTGCTGTCACAACTTGTCACTTGAGAAATATATAATTTCTATGATTACACTAACCAACAACATTTGGGAGCATGAACATAGTATACAATAGTTCAAATGAATTAAATGATACATAAGATTAAAGAAAGATAAGTGTTCTATAGTACAATAGTATAATTATCATTGACAATAATTTAATGCATATTTCAAAATGCAGCAGAAAATTTGACTTTCTGGAGAGATGGCTCAACACTTTTTTTTTTTGGCTAGGCAAGCGCTCTACCACTGCGCTAAATCCCCAGTCCCTCCCCACCCCCTTTTTTTTTTTTTTGAGAATTTGACTTTCTAATACAATGGAATGCTGTGTTATGCACCACATACACAGAAAATAGATTGATGATAGAACAGGTACTGTGGTATGGTGGCAGAATTGAAGAACACTTTAATATCTATGGGGCAAGGACAAACTGGTATCTAATTGGGTACTGTTTTATATTTATCTATATTTCATGTCCAGGAATCAACTTACTATATAATTAAATGAAAACAATAAAACTCTAATGCTTTGAAAAATCAGTCAAATCTTTAGAATGCAACAAAGAATTTTTCTTTTCTTTCTTTCTTTCTTTTTTTTTTTTTTTTTTTCGACAGGGTTTCTCTGTGTAGTTTTTTGGTTCCTGTCCTGGATCTCACTCTATAGACCAGGCTAGCCTGGAAATCACAGAGATCTGCCTGGCTCTGCCTCCCAAGTGCTGGAATTAAAGGCGTGGGCCACCACCGCCGGCTTAACAGAGAATTTTTCTTCTCATAAAAAAGAAGTTGTGTTAGTGTATGTCTTTAATCCCAGAACCTGGGAGGCAGAGGCAGGGCGACTCAGTGAGTTCAAGGTCATAGCCTGGTCTACATAGGAAATTTCAAGCTAGTCAGGGCCATATAATGATATCTTGGAGAGAGCAAGTCAGTGAGAAAGTGAGGATGGGGATGAATGAATCGAGGAGAGCAGTGGCGTTGGATGTAGGATGGTCACAGAGCTGGATGGAGCTCGCCTGTGGCTTTGGGAACTAGCACTCTGGACTGACTGCAATTCTGGTCAGCTAGCATGATCCCTCCCAGACATAATTTCCATGCTGAAGAAAAGAAAGTGATCCACGTCCCAGGCCATGATGTATCCTTGGATAGAGTGATCATGGCAGATGATGCTAAGATTTGGCAGTAGTGAGGTCTATATGGGTCAAGAAAGCTGTGGCCAAGGCTGTTCAGCAGCAAGTAAAATCTTTGTGACTCGGAAGCCTCAGTGGTTAAGAGTGCTCGCTGAGCAAGGGTGAGGACCTGCATTCTCAAGAGCACCCAAGTAGAAGCTAGGCGTCGTCACAGGTGACTGTAAACCCAGCACTGTGGGGCAGGGACAGGAGGATCGCCGGAGCTTGTCAGCCTAGCCATGGGTTCGGTGAGAGACCCTGTCTCACAGGAATAAGGTGAACCTTGACAAAACAAGCCACCAGATGTCCTGCTCTGGCCTCGTGCATGCCAGGACGTAAAGTCTCTCACAAAAGGACTGTCCCTTAAACCCCTAAACCTCCAACTCGGCTTCACACCATCCAGCCTCGAAATTCTTTTCTGTGGTGAAGCCCCGACTCCTGCTTTTGTCTGACTGGAGGTCGCCAAGTGGAAAGGGCACTCACCCTTCAGGACCGGGAGGCGGCAGAGCTAAGCCGCGCCTCCGCCCCTCCGTGGGACGCCGTGGGAGTCCCGGGCGCGGCTGCGCAGAGGCTCCGTCGGGGGGCGGGACCCAAGGGGCTGGCACAGCCCTGCCCGCCCGCCTCGCTCACCCGACGCTCACCATGTCTGCGCCCGGGGCTGCCGCGGCCCCACGGAGGCTCCTGGGCTAGCGGGGCTAGCGTTCACACGGCCAGGAGGCTCAGCCCCTTGGGACTCACACGGCCCACAGCAGTGAGGATGGAGGCGCCAGGAAGAAAGATGGCGGGTGAGGCGCTTTCGCTCAGCCCACCGGCGCTGCTGATTGGGCCGCTCACACAACCCGCGTACATCTTCGTCTGCACCGGCAGTTTCCTGTCCTATGGATCTCAAGACGGCTCCTAGGGATAGACGTCACACAGTCTAGGAAGCTAAACCGACCCGGACTCCCTCAGTTGGTTGCTGAGAGCCGCCAGGAAGAAAGATGGCAGACAAGGCCCTGCCTCTCGGCACTCCTGATTGGAGAGTTCGTACCTGCCGCTTCTGCGGCCGTCATTGCTGGTGCCCACAGATTCAGTCTCGGAGCCCTGAGTGACAGGATGTTATCCTCCCAACTCTGACAGCACCTCTTCCTCTCCTGTCAACAACCCTAATGAAACTCAGAGAGACACACAAAGACATGATAGATGAAAGGAGTCAAGGAGAGAGGGAGAGGGACAAGAGGGGGGTCTGTGTATGCGATATAAACAAGGTACATTATGTACATGAATGAAAATGTTACCATGAAATATTACGTATAATTAATGTATGCTAATGGAAACGTTATAAACGATACATTCCAGCAGTTAAGAAGTAAAAAGCTGCAGCAGTCCTTCAACAAAGGAAAGCTGACACATAAATAAATCCTTTTCAGGTTTATTATGAAGTGCCTCAAGCCATGATCCGTCCTCGAGGTGGAAGGGAAGGCACTAGACAGAGACGGGGAGGTGAGGGAGCGAGGGGCAGGCAGAGGCTGACAGACTGACCTTGAGAAGGGGAGGCGAGGTCAGAAGAGCTTCAGAGAGCAGCCTTCACCCCTGAGCTATCATCCTGAGTTGTCTCAGATTACTCTCCAGAACAAATTAAAAGTCTGATTTTTTTAAAAAAATAACCTTTTAGTGGACAGGATCTTTCATATCGTGTGATTTGGTTCAGCATAGTGTACATGACAAGGGAGCATGGAGCCAGGTACTATAGAGAACTGTCAAGTCACAGCACACTGCTTCTTAACTCTGTCCAAGAGAGAACTGCAGAGGGGCTATGGGATCAGGCCTAAAGAAGCAGGCTACTGCAAATCAGCCACAGTATCTCGGGTTCTTCTCTCTTGTCTCAAACTGGCCCATCTCAGGGCCAGGGTCTTAGGCCTCAAAGAAATACAGGACAAATGGTTAACCTAGGTGCCTATTAAAATATCAAAGCAGACACTGGCTGAAGTCAATGGTGGGTGGGACCAACCTAGATAGAGACTGCCTAGGTGTTGACACACCAGAGAAGAGGAAACCTTGATTGAAGAATTGCTGCCATCATACAATGGGTATGTATATGCATCATTTCCTTGCTAAATGATGTAGAAGGGCTCAGTCTACCACTGTGGGTACTACTATGTCTAGGCAGCTTTCCTGTCTTTAAAATCCAGAGAATCGAAAAAAAATTCTTTGCATATATGCATATATGCCTGCACACTTGTGGGTGCACAGAGGCCAGAGAACATCATTCTCTATCACTCTCCATCTTATTCTCTTGAGATAAGGTCTCACTGAACCCAGAGTTAGGCTGGCAGACAGGAAGCCACAGCCATACTCTGTGTCTGTCCCTCTCTGCTGAGATTACCAGTTAACAAGGACTATTGGGGTCAAGCCCCAGCTAGCCCTTTCCCAGGGTCTGGGCAAGGATCTACCACCAGCTGAGAATCTAATCTTAGGAATATTGAATGAATCTACACACACCAAGCTCTTTCAGTCCATTCATTTTATTCTTCTAAGTCAATTCTCAGTCTACAACTTTTCTCTCATACATTTCTGTGCTGTTCTTTGTTCTACCTTGAGTCTCTAAAGTTTCCAGGTTTTATACACATACAATCAGCAATTCTCTGGCCAAAGCAAGGCCACAAGGCTTGAATTCTTTCAGGGTCATAAAAGTAGATAAGATCGAAAAAAACAAAACAAAACAAAACAAAAAAAAAAAAAAAAAGTAGATAAGAGTTTACACCAGGCAGTGATTGTCAGGCTTTCTTATGACTCGAGGGGTGACTTGTAAAAGCCTCAGTGAACTCTTAAAGGGAATGGGGTCAAAAGATGGAGAGAGACCTTAAATCAATAGGGAAATCTAAGAAGGGAAAAAGGGGAATCTGTGTGTAATACTGCACTCCTAAGTGTGGTTAGATAATAAACTGAGTAGTAAACCAAGGTGAAAGTACAAGGAGTTAGGAATTGGTTAGTGTGAGCTTAGCCTGGAGCAGCACTTTCCTGTCTCTAGGAAGGGTGAGCCCAGGGCACGCTTGTTACCTGTCTATCTAAAGGCTGTGAATCAACAAATGTCCTTGGGTGTCTGAGAATGTTTCAAATGAGGTACTTTTGCCTGGACACTTAACACTGACCAAATGCCTGCCAATGAAGATAACTGCAGAAAGGCAGACCTCTCAGTTTTACATTGGAGAGAGGAACAAAGACCTGGTTGTGGCAAACAGGTTTTGACTGTGTGACTGTTTTCATACACAGCTGGGGGAATGTTATCCAAACACCCGAAATGTATAGGGGAAGTTGTGCCCAATAAATGATCAATCATACTGTTAGAAGTTCTTGGGAAAAGAATCAGATGGGAAGGGTACAATAGCACACAAGAAATTCACTGTAGGAAACAGCTAATACAGTATCACCAAAACTCAAGTTTTGGCTTTAACTTCCAACAGAACCCTTGGCTCTGATGGGTTAGCCTTGTCAGTGCCAGCTGAGTTCCTACTTCATATTTCTGTGACTTGCAGCAATCAGTGTTCTGTGGCTAAGCTCAGCTTTTTATGTGGGTGCTGGGGACTCAAACTCAGGTCAGTATAAGTGTACAGCAAGCACTCTTACTCACTGTGCCATTTCCCCAGCCAAGATGATGTTCATGCATAAACAGTATGTTTATACTCAAGGCCAATGTGAACTGACTATAACATTAAAAGATGACTAATTGATGACACATTTGCTAAAACACATAACAAGATTTATCACCTGCTCCTGTATTTATGTGTACCAATGCCAAGGACACAAGCTGACATATTAGGCCAGCAGTGAAAGCTTCTTTACACAGTGAGTTTCCATGAAGACTGACATGCACCTTAGCATGATGTCACCTGCTAATGCCTACTTTTCTTTAGAGCTCCGAGTTGGTGTTTCAATCTTGGTTCACCAGCTTTCTTGTCTCACAAAAATGGAAGCATTCATATTTGCAAATAGTATGTTCTTACATATATCTACATGATCTGTGCTCATTTCTATGTTCCTACTTTACAAAGCTGTCAAGCAAGAGATGTTTGAAAATTACTATGAAAGGCATAATATCGGGGACTATGGGGGTCCAGCCCCTCGATAGTCCCCTCCCAGGGTCCGGGAAGAATCTACAACCAGCTGATAATTAATCTTTGATGAGAAGAAATGAATCTATGTACACGAAACTCCTTAGTCCATATACTTTATTATTCTGTGACAGTTACAAGCTTATATTCTGCTCTCATATTTAGGTCTTTTCTTGCCTGATTTCTCTCTACACTTGTCCGCGGTCCCCTCTGGGTTCTATCTTAATTCCTTCATCTTGTTCTGCCCCTTCTAGGTTCTCATCCATCTTGTTCCTTCCCATATCATCTTTTCTCCCATCTCCTTCTCTCTCCTCATCTCGTTCTTCCTCACCTTGTTGTTCCCCAACTGGCTCATCATCCTCATCTTCCATCTCATTCCTCTAGTACTCTCTTCTAGCCCTTCAATCTAGCTCTTCCCCATCTCAGTTTGTTCCTTTCAAGTTCTTACCCGTCTAGTTCTTCCATTCTCTTTTCTCCTTTCTGACCCCCCCCCCCCCCCCCCCCCCCCCCCCCCCCCCCCCCCCCCCCCCCCGTGCCCTGGAAGTCCTGGTATATAAAGCCAGGCTTCCAGGGTCAAACGGAGGGGTGATAAGAATCACATTGAGAGGCAATAACCATTAATTATCATTTGCAAACCCAAAGGGAAGTGACCAATGGGGAAATTCAGGTAATATCTAAGAAGAGGGCTCCTATGTGCTCAACTATAATCTTAAACGTGATTGGTAGAAAATGTTAAGAATCTATAAGTTGCTAGGTCAATGGGAGAAAATAAAACTGCCTTCTTTTTTCCTGTGGCTCCTATCTGTCCTAGCTCTCTGCCGTTTTTCTTCAGGGTGGGGGAAAGTGTGCTCAGTCGCTAGGCAACCTGTGTACAGCTGGATGCCTCTGGTGATAGTTAAAGGGAGATCTGGAACTGGAGGTAAGGTTTGGGAAAGGAGGAAGTAAGGCTTAATTGGCACATCCACCAGGCCTTCTCAAACAGGTAGCCTGGATGGTTAAGTCTGTTCTTAGAGAATACAGAGATATCTCTGATAAAGTACTCTCCTCTATCTGGGGATGGACCTGGCCGGATGCTGCTAATGATGATAATTACAGGGAGGCTTGAACTGGGGTTCTGGCTGAGCATTGCTGTCAGGGCAGAAGGTTATCTAAATATTCCTAGAAGTGGTTAGGTAAGGAGTTAGCGGTCTATAAAGTTAGTAAGGCTGTAAGAAAGGAGGGTCTGAGCTGAATTGCACCTGACCTAGGTAGTGTCTCCTTGTGGAATTTACCTTAAATCAGGAGACTTGCATGTAGACTGTTATTACTGCTAGTCCTTGAAAGTGGCCAAGGGAGATATCTGATTCCAGAGAAAGCCTTTCCTGAGGCTGTTCTCCAAATACCTGGAATGTGTATGTCCAGAGAGTGATCAGTCCACACTGTTAGCCCTTCTTAGGGAAAAGTCAATTGGGAAAACTATGAAGGCACACATGATTTTCATAACAGAAGACAGCTGATATATAACAAGCCAAGTAACACCAAAAACTCCTTGGGATTTGGCTTCCTCTGGAGGAATTTCCTGATTCCTCCAGGTAGTGACTTTGCCATAACCAGCTGAGTTCTTATGATATATTCCTGCGGCCTGCAGCAGCATAACTTCTGTGCAGTGAGAGCTTTACTGTAATACTGGGCTCTTCATGCACTTTCCTAGGTTTCTACACTGGCAATTTACCTGAACATATCGCTTTCTTAGTGCTTTAGTCAGGGTTCTCTAGAGAAACAGAACCAGGGGATGATTATTATTAGCCTAGCTCTTGGTTCAAGGAAAGACTTTTTTTTTTTATTCAAAGGCAAAGCATGATACAGCAGGACATCTTCCTCTGGTCTCCAAAGGTGCACAGGCACACACATCTGCAATACACCTATGCACTCACCACATCCACAATGCTTACACACACTACACATGCACAAAATAATAAACTTAAAATAAAAAAAAGATCTTTCTGATAAACAAATCAAATATGGTATGTAGATAGATTTATTACAGCAATCCATTACATTCGTTGTGACTAATGACTTGGTCCTGGTTATCTCTGGCCAGAGCATACTTAAACCAGTGGGATATATCTTTTGATAAGAGAAGTAAAGGGAAAATTATGATAAAAAACTATAACATAAATATAAATATAAAAAGAGCATTAGTTAGTAGGATTCTACTACATAAAGACATTTCACCAGTATTTTGACAATGACTATAACATGAAAGGAAAAATTTGAAAAATTGTAAAGTTGATCTCTTTTTGATGATTATTTTGCAGATATATTGTCCATATATGAAAAATAACATGTGTCAATGTATACACTGTTGAAAACAGTTAAAATATAAAATATGTACAGAAATCTTATTTGGAGAAAATATTAAAAGTGAAAAATAGTTAAATCTACTTTAAAGTCATTTGTTCTGAATTTATATACATATATGACCTATGACAAGAGCCTAGTAGGAAAATCATAAGTATTAATAACCTTTCATATTTGTGAGCACTGAGCTTGCATGTGTGGAAGCTAGAGGACAACATCAGGTAAATCTCTCCTACCTCTCTGCCTTATGTGCTTGAGACATGGCCTTGCACTAATCTTAGAGCTTGTTTTCATCTAGACTAGTTGGCCAGCAAGCTCCAGTAATCTTCCTGAACCCCTACTTTCAATGCTGGGGATACAGGCATGTTTAGTCATAGCTGGCTTTTGGCATTAGTGCTGGGGATCTGGCCTAGGTCCTGAAGCTTTTCCATTGAGCCATTTTCAGAGCCCCAATTTAAAATTTTTTACAAGTCCATTAGCAAAATTATTTTAAAACTACATAAAAATTATGACTGCTCACATATTAGAAAGACATTTCAATTCAACATTTAAAATTAAAAGCAGAAAAAGTTATTAACTGAATTTACTAATACTGAAACTACAGATTAAGCACATGCAACTGTTTAAGTAAACCTTAGCAAATAATTTCAATGAAACATTGATTTTCAAGAAAAAAAATTAAAGCACAGTTTAGATCTACTTAAGAATGTGACACTGACAAACATTTATAAACATTAGAACATTTCCTCTAAAGGGTGTAATTTCTAAAGCATTCCATAAATTATTTTATGCCAGGCTCTTCACATTAGTTATGTTAATAGAATCCTACTACATCAGCCTTTGACACATGCTACAAATGACAATTCTACTTACATTTACAAGTTTTGACTGTGTATATGCTGGCCAACTGAAGACTTACAGATTTCTTCTAATCAAGGTTCTTGATACAATGTGTCCTTTTGTGTGTGTGGTGTGCATACATGTGAGGATGAGTGTTCATATGTGTGTGGCTGCACACTGTACTTGCATGTAGAGGCCAGAGGTTGATGTTAACGTTGGATATCTTCCTTAATCACTCTCCACTTTACTTTTTGAGAGATCTCTCACTGAATCTGAATAGACTTGAGTAGACTAGTTAACCAGCAAGCTCAGGGATCTCTTGTCTTTGCCTCCCTAGCACTGGAATTACAGGCATGTGTCACCATGTCTGGCTTTTATATGGGTGCTAAGGATTTAAACTCAGGATCTCATGCTTCTGTGGTAGGCACTATACAGATTGAGCCATCTCCCCATCCTCCTAGTGTTTTGGTTTTTTTTGAGAACTGAACAGAGACAAGTAGAGATAATCCCACATGCTTTACATTGATACACATTAAATTCATTATGCCATCATGCTTACTAGAAAGAGTTTGTAACAATGGGGCTCTCCTTTACTCTATATTTAGAGATATTCTCCAATGTGTCTCCATTCATGTTTTTGAAGGGAACCACAACATGTTAAGGCTTATTCACATTGTTTACAACCATATAGTTTGTTTTTTATTTTGGTTGTTGTTAATGAGATTAAAACTTATTCAAAGAGAAGGTCTTCCAATGTAGCTTACACACAGTGCATCTTTTCATGGTATCGAAGAGAACCATGAGTACTGTAGGATTTCCCACATTGTTTACATACATAGGGTTTCTCTCCAGTGTGAATTCTTTCATGGCATCGAAGGGAACTGTGATCAGTGAAGGCTTTCCCACAGAACTTACATACATATGGTTTCTCTCCCCTGTGGATTCTTTCATGGCGTTGAAGAGAACTATGATAAGTGAATGCTGTCCCACATAACTTACATACATAGGGTTTCTCTGCACTGTGAATATTTTCATGGCAACGAAGAGAACTGTGATACATAAAGGCTTTTCCACACTGTTTGCATACATAGGGTTTCTCTCCGGTGTGAGTCCTTTCATGGCAATGAAGGGAACTATGAAATGTGAAGGCTTTTCCACACACCCTGCACAAACAAGGTTTCAATCCGCTGTGAATTCGTTCATGTTTTTTCAATGCGCTGCTCAACACAAAGGCTTTCCCACATTGCTTACACCCATAGGATTTCTCTCCACTATGAATCTGTTCATGGTATCTAAGAGCATTGTGATGCATGAAGTTTTTCCCACATTGCTTGCATGCATAGGGCTTCTCTCCACTATGAATTCTTTCATGGCATTTAAGAGAACCTTGACGACTGAATGCTTTCCCACATAGCTTACATACATAAGGTTTCTCTCCACTATGAATCCTTTCATGACATTGAAGAGAACTGCAATCAATGAAGGCTTTCCCACATACCTTACATTCATAGGGTTTCACTCCAGTATGAATTCGCTCATGTCTTCGCAAGGCACTAGAACAAGTGAATGCTTTTCCACATTGCTTGTATATATAGGGTTTCTCTAAACTGTGAATCTTTTCATGGCATTGAAGGGAATTGTGATCACTGAAGGCTATCCCACATTGATTACATATGTATTTTATTCCATCATTAGTTTGTTCATGACTTTCAACCTTACTCAAACAAGGAAAGACTTTCAGAAATTGCTTGCATTCATAGGGTTTCTCTCCACTATGAGTCCTTTCATGGCGGCGAAGGCCACTGGAATAAGTGAAGGTTTTGCCACATTGCTTACATGTATAAAGCTGTTCTCCATTATGTGTCTTTTCGTGTGTCAAGAAAGAACTGGAAGAGTGAAAGGCTTTACCACATACTTTACATATATATGGCCCATGTCCATTATGTGTTATGTGCTGTTGAATATCAGCAAGAGTCAAAAAGTCTTTTCCACTCTGCTTTAAAACACAAGGATTTTCTGTAGCATGCATTCTTTCAGGGACCTGAACATTACTGTGTCTACTAAAACCTTCCTCGGTTTGCTTACATTCATAAGTTTTCTCTTCCACATGAGTCTTTACGTGTTCCAGAAAGCACTGAGGAGAACTAAAGACTTTCTCACATTCCTTATATATGGCTGGTTTCTCTGCATATTCTTGATTCTCACATAGTTTGTATACAGTCTGAACTGAAATGGGAAGAATTTTTCTTAAACTTTCATAGTCATCTTCAAGGGTCTTGTCTTCTTGTTTTTTTGCTGGAATGTAGATCCAGAAAAATCACTTTGAGTTAATACAACACTATAGAAAAGTATTAGATTCTAAGTAGGTTTCTGGTACAACATGACCATGACTGGTTTATTCATCAAAATTTCCGTGTCTGTACAAATAATGGAGCTGCATTGATAAGTAAAAATACATTTTTCTCATGGACTAAACAAGGCAATGATTTCACTCTTACCTATGGCAGCCAGGTTCCTGAAGGTTTCCTGCATCACATCTTTGTGCAACCTCTTTTGGGAAGAATTCAGTAAAGCCCACTCCTCTGAAGTGAAATTCACAGCCACATCCTCAAAGGATAAAGACTCCTGAAAAATGACATTATTTTCAAGAGGAAGAGTGAGACACGTTGGAGATATCTACTCAATGCACATGATGTTTATAGAATGTTGTGTTGTCTAAATGTTAAATCTATGTAATGCTCATCACTGTTCTGGTCAATGCGCTCACTTTTTTTTTTGTTTGTTTTTGTTTTTGTTTTTTGAGACAGGGTTTCTCTGTGTAGCTTTGCGCCTTTCCTGGTACGCACTCTGTAGCCCAGGCTGGCCTCGAACTCACAGAGATCCACCTGGCTCTGCCTCCCGATGCTCTCACTCTTTAACAATGTAATTCCAATGCTAGGCTGGAACTAAATTATAAAGCAAAAGTAGATGCCTGTTATGCTGTTCGGTCACCCAGTAAAGTCTGTAAAATGGTTCTGTTGCACCTCTCATTAAAAAAAAAAAAAAAAAATCCTACTAGGCCAGGCATAGCAGTGCACACCTTAATCCCAGCACTCAGGAGGCAGAGGCAGGCAGATCTCCTTGACCTGCCAGTCTTATATTGTGAGTTCCTGGCCAGCTAGGGCTACATAGTGAGGCGCTGTCTTAAAAAATCCCACTAGTCAGTATCCATAATAGAGTTAACATCAGCTATGTGGAGACTATTCTTAGAACAGGGCTTGGAAAAGTGCTTGCCTCTCAAGCATGAGGGCCTGAGTTTGAGCCCCCACAATTCCACATAAAATTTCTGGGTATAGTGGAACATACTTGTAATCCCAGCCCTGGAGATTACAGGTGGAGACAGGTAGATCCCTAGTGCATACTGATCAGCCAATCTAGTACAACTGGTAAGCATCAGGCAAAAAAAGATCCTTTTGCAAAAGGTGGACAGCATTCCCAAGGAATGACCCAAGGTTGTCCTCTGACCTCCACATGCATGTGCATACACATGTGCATGTGTACTTGTGCAAACATCTGTAAGCATATATATGCATTTAAAAAAAGATACATTTTCAACTTTCCCTGGGGTCTGAGACCTGGTATTTGGATGGACGTCACTAGCCTACCTGTGGAGAGGGGCTCAGTGTTCTAGTTTATGACAGCAATTGTTTAACTTGCATTGTCCCTCTAAATGTCTGAAAGCTTCTGACATGCTTAGCAGAAGGATATTACCTGATCAGAATGAAAATATGCTCTGGAGGATTAGTCTCCAATGAGCTGGTCTGACTGATAATACAGAATAAACACTTCATCTCCCAAATTCTTCCTTAGGAAGCTGCACATCTTTGGCTGCACAGAGAAAACTTGGGAATCTTAAATATTCTGAAAAACCTATAAAGGATAATCTACTATGATAATGTGAAAAGACTTTAGTTTTTCCTCAAAAATGCTAAGAGAAATAGAAATGAGGTAAATGGCATTGTTAGAAGGGGCTTACTGTCAGATATACTGAGGAAATATAATTATTTCTCAATACATCTTTATCGAGTGGACTACTAATCCAGAATTTCCTTGATCAGAAGATCCCTACATATAAATACATAGAAAAGCCCATAAAGAATGTACCATGTAGGCCGGGTGGTGGTAGCGCACGCCTTTAATCCCAGCACTCGGGAGGCAGAGCCAGGCGGATCTCTGTGAGTTCGAGGCCAGTCTGGACTACCAAGTGAGTTCCAGGAAAGGCGCAAAGCTAAACAGAGAAACCATGTCTCGGAAAAAAAAAAAAAGTTTAAGAATGTACCATGTAAACATATATGAACTGAATATTTTACAAACAGCACTGGGCAAAAGGGTTTAAACAAAATAACAGTATGTGGCTTCAATACCCTGATACCACAAATAGATCACCCAGAAAAAAAATCAACCAAGGAACTTCAGAGTTAAACTGCACCATAGATCAAATGCACTTAATGGCCATTTACAGAATAGTCTATCAAACAACTGCAGAAGACACATTCTTCTCAGCATCAGATGGAAGATTCTCCAAAAATACATTACGTATTAGGTGACAAAGCATTAGCAAATTCAAACACACATACACACACACACACACACACACACACACACACACACACACACACAGCAACTAACCAAATTAAAAAAACAAAAACCCAAACATACTCTGAAATGCTTTCTTACATTATATCAGATCAAAAAAGTCAAATTGCAAAGTATTTAATTTGGAAAAAAATATTAAGAAACCCAGAGCCAGGAAGACAGATTAGTTGGTAAAGTGCTTGCCACCTAAGCATAAAGACCTAATTTGTTCCCTAGTACTGACAGAAAAAGTTGGGCATGGTGGCACACACTGTGTGCTGGGGACTTGTAAGACCTGTAGTTGTGAAACTATTAGAGGAAGATAAAATGAAGCCAACTGTTTTGTAGAATGAAATATGATAACAAAAATAAATGAAAAGAAGCCTTTACCAAATATAATGTCATATGGAAAAAGAGACTAAACAGGACAGGAAATTGGGAAGAGGCAGGAATTGGGGATGAATCTGGGAGGAATTAGGAGAAGTGAAAGTGAATATGATAAAAATACATTGTATGCTGGGTGGCAGTGGCTTATGACTTTGATCCTAGCACTTGGGAGGCAGAGCCAGGAGGATCTCTGTGAGTTCGAGGCCAGCCTGGTCTACAGAGCGAGATCCAGGATGGGCACAAAACTACACAGAGAAACCCTGTCTCAAAAACAAACAAACAAACAAACAAAAAATTGTATGCTTATAGGAAATTTAAAAAAAAATACATTAATAAAGAAGAGACAAGCAAGTAATTACAGGAAAGATAAACAATCTTGAAGTGATCCATATGTAAGCAGAAAACTGACTCACAATATAGCAGGTATCAACAATGTCTTAGTTAGGGCTTCTATTACTGTGATACACATCATTACCAAAAGCACCCTGGGATGGAAAAGGTTTCTTTCAGCTTACATGTACCAACCACAGTTTATCAGGAAGGAAAGTCAGGGTAGGAACAGAAGCAGAGACCATGGAGGACCAGTGCTTACTGGCTTGCTTTTCATGGCTTGCTCAACCTGGTTTCTCTTTCTTTCTTTTTTTAAGATTTTATTATTATACATACAGTGTTTTGTCTGCATGTGTCCTTGCAGGCCAGAAGAGGGTACCAGATCTTATTACAGGTGGTTGTGAGCCACCATGTGGTTGCTGGGATTTGAACTCAGGACCTCTGGAAGAGCAGTCTGTGCTCTTAACCACTGAGCCATCTCTCCAGCCTGTTAACCTGGTTTCTTGTAGTACACAGGACCATCATCCCAGGAGTGGCACCAACACAGTAAGACGGGTCCTTCCATATCAATCAAGAAAATGTACCACACAGGCCAGTATGATGGAGGCATTTTCTCATAATTGAGGGTCCCTCTTCCAAAATGACTAGCTGGTGTCAAGCTGACATAAAATAAGCCAGTACAAACATTAATGTCAGAAATCAACCTGCTTAATATACTCTAGGACAAATTAGTATTTACTTGGAAACATGCACAGATTTCCCTTTCTCATGAAGATTAATCAAATTATACACTGAAATGGAAAAGACAAAATTCAAGTGTTTTGAGAAGTCATAGTCAAGTATCTTTTGATGTGTAAAGTTTCCTTTAGATATGCATATTTAGATATGTAGAAGATATGCAGATTAGTAAGTATAATGCCAAACAAACAAAATCAAGAATTAAAAATCTGCACCGAGCAGTGGTGATGCATGCCTTTAATCCCAGTACTTGGGAGGTAGAGGCAGGTGGATCTTGGTGAGTTTGAGGCCAGCCTGTTCTACAGAGCGAGTTCCAGAACAGCCAGAACTGTTACACAGAGAAACCCTGTCTCGAAAAACAAAAAAACAAAACAAAACAAAAAATTAAAAATCTAATAATTGACATTAGATGCAAGAGAGCCTTTAATAACATTCCATCCATGTCATGATCAAAGCTCAGAATCTAGTAGGTAGGCACAGGAGGATTATAGATTAAGATAATAAAGGCTTTCATGACAAACAGAACTAGTAATAACATGCTAAATGAGGGAAAACACTGAAAGCATTTTTTTAAAGATCAGAAAAAAATTACTCGGTGACTACCCACGACTCTTTTTGAATATAGTACTAAACTATTAGCCAGAACAAATATGCAAACAAAAGCAACAATAAGTATACGCGGATCTCTGAGTTCGAGGCCAGCCTGGTCTACAGAGCAAGTTCCAGAATAGGCTCCAACAGCTATACAGAGATACCATGTCTTGAAAAACAACAAAATGAAACAAAACAAAACAAGAAAAGAGTTCCAGGCCAGCTGGGTACACAGCAACACATTCAAGAAAACCAAGGACAGATCAAAAGATTACACCAAAAAGGCTTTAAGAGATTATAAACTATTTAGATAGGCAGGGGAGGGTACAAAATCAATAGGCAATGCCCTACATTTTCTCCCAGTGTTAATGAACTATCTCACAGAGACAGTTAAGATTGTCAGGAAGTCATGATATATGTACACATAAACTAAAATGTCCAAGAAAACCTCACTGATTATGTGAAAATCTTCAACAAAGACAGTGTTGAAGAAATAGAAATAGAAGAAACAGAATAGAAAGAAATAGAAAGAAAGGGTGTGAAGGTAGGGTGGTAGGGAGGTTTGGGGAGGAGTTGGGGGAGAGGAAAAGTGTGATCAGAAAATATTGCATGAAAATTTTTTTCAATAAAAAAGGCAAAAGAAATATTAAGAAAGAAATTAAGCAAGACATTAGAGGAAGAAAGACCTACCATGATCATGGATTAGGAGAATCAATATCACTAAAATGACTCAAAGTAAAAAAAGAGAGAAAGAGAGAGAGAGAGAGCGAGAGAGAGAGAGAGAGAGAGAGAGAGAGAGAGCAATGCTGCATGTTTTACATGACCTGATTTCAAAACACATAGAACAGAACAAAATCTGACAGAATACTGTCATAAATATAGATGTGCAGTCCAGTGGAAGAGAAAAGAGCACACAGGAATAACCCACGCGTTTGGCCAGTTGATTTTCAACAAAGGTGCCAAAAATATACACCTGAGGAAGGACGCAATAACTGATAAATGATGACGGTAATACTGGATTTCTACATGGAGATGTCTGAAACTAGACCTCTAGAGAAACTAGACCCTAGAGAAAAATCAATTCATAAATTGTTCACTTGTTGCCTCAAAATGATTGGCTGACCAGAAAAGACAAAACACTATTAAGCACTCTCTATTAAGTCAGCACCTTAATACTGTTATTTACCACTCCAAGAAAAGCCCTTCTTTTCTACCTCCTGATAAGCTTTCACACCTGACATCCGGGGCCTTCTCTCTATTTGTAAGTCTTTTCATGTGAGGCCATACCTTAATTAGCATTAAAAAATCGAATCAATCCCTACAAACAGTTTAATTGCATCACAGACGGCCACACATCTCCGCTCCGTGTTTCTCACAGGGATCGGTGGATCGCCCGGCCCGGTAAATTTGGCAATGTCGGGGAGGACCTGAGAATTGAGGGATTTCAACTGTCAATCAAAAAACAAACAAACAAACAAAAAAAAGCATTTGCCTGGGGGACAAAATCGTGGATTTTAGGAACGGCCTGGCATGAATCGGAAAGACAGGAAAATCCGGCTCTCCTAGGCAGAACAAAGCGATCGCGCATCGGCCCGCAGGGCTCGGGCCCACGACCCTCGGCCACCGCGTATTCGGGGAGTCCGGGGCGCAGCTGCAGAGGCGCCCCCCGCTACCCAGCCCGGCCGGTCCAACAGCCCGGCCCGCCCGCCCCCGCACCCCCGGCGCTCACCATGGCTGCGCTCGGGGCCTCCTGCGGCCTCACGCAGCTCCTAGGTTCAGGGGCCGTGGAGCCGCTGGGGTCCAGCGACCCGGGACTCCCTCAGCTGACTGGACAGCCTTGCAAGGAAGGAGAGTTGCCAGGAAGAAAGACGGCGGAGGAAGAATTTCCGCCCCGTTCTCCGGCGCTCCTGATCAAACTGGTTGCACCGGATCGCCACTTCTTGCGTCCGAATCCCTGGACTGCTGCCACCTGACTCTGTTACTAGGTTTGGAGGTCATACAAAAACCCCGAGGCTGAACAGCTTGCCACTCCATAAACTGACACCACCGGGCCAACTATGGAGGCACCAGGAAGAAAGATGGCGAGTGACGCTCTTCCGCTTCGCCTGCCGGCGGTCCTGATAGGACAACTCATACTGGCCGCTTCAGCTGCCCCCAGGATTGTTCCAGGGGGTCAGTTTCAGTCTGTGCGGCTGAACAATCCGCGCTCCCCGAGCTGACGAGCGTTTCACCACTATGGTGAGGAAAATCCCGTCGGGGCTCTTGACTCACACACGGAGCCCTTTGTGGCGGAATAACGGACGCCTACCTGGCTGGCTGGAACCAAAACAAGCGTTCCAGCCACAGTCGTTCTGTGCCCAGTCTTCTCTTGGTGAGGACCAGCTGACCTTGGATACCGCTGCATTTAAGCAGAACTTGCCTCTGACGTTGCCGAACGGCCACCTGCTGCATTTCTACACACTGCACCCCTCCCACTTTGGAAATGAACTCACCAGTTTAAGTGAATTACAAGGTTAGTGTCCCACGGAGACAATCCATGTGCTCAGAAAAGAGGAAGGCTAGCTTAGGACACACTGAAACAGGTACAGCCTGATGCCATTCTTGAACAATTTCGAATGAGACGGTTTGGTTCAGAGCCAAGACTTTCTCAAACTTTTTTTTTTTCATTCTACTCATTTTCACTCAAGAAAAGATAAACATGCCAAAAAGAGAATACAATCAGTCAATGCATATGGAAACTGGAGTTATATGCTAGCAGTGTTTCACAGAGGGAAGAAAAACATTTGAACTCTTACACAATAGCCTGTTTCATCCACTTTTACAAGGATCGAGAAGGCGACAATATTTTAAGCCTGAGAACTAACACCATAACAAGGCATCCTTTCTGAAAATGTTTCATTACAAAAATGGTATGTTCATCATAGATTCAATTTCTCTGCGTCCGTAGCACCTAGATTGGTCCACTTTGCCCACAAGTCCCAGGCTGTGAGAGACTTCCTTTTCCTGTTTAAGTCTTTACCGATTCAGACAGTTCAAATGCAGAGCGTTTTCTGATTACCATAGCTTCTGTATGGGGCCTCTAAGTCCCTCATCTGTATACTTTCTCATGGATTGTGCCTTCCTTTGTATTAGGTCAACCTTGAGGGACACTTTCTTTCTTTCTTAGTAGTTCTTAGAAAATTTCATACAACATATTTTGATCATATTCATGCCTGCCTCAAAAACAAATTATATTTATCAACACATTGATTGAAATAGTTATGAAAATTGTACAGAAATTGTTTGAAGAAAACATACATTAAAAAGTAAAACTAGTGAATACACACACAAAAGGTTTTTTTTTTTTTTTTTTTCCTGAACACAGGCTAAATATATAAGAAACTGTCACATCACTCCAGTAGGGACGTCAACAAATTATTTTCCAAAAAAAATGGAAAGCTTCATGCATTTCAGTTTCATCCTCATGCAGGAACCATATCTTTTGGTAGTTCGGATTTTAGTATATGTGTTATCAAAGTGAGCCCAATATCTCTAATACCATTAACCACAATTTTAAAACTATAAAAACTAATTCTATTGACATCTTAGAAAACCACCTCATTCCCTAATGGCTTAAAATAAAAACAAAAAACCAAATGTTTAGGATATAATTTGATTTAAAATTACTGCCTACTGAACTCACTATTGATATTGGTGAATTGTTATTCCTCAAACCTGGCAGAACTGCTTTTTCTGCAGCCCTTTTTCTTTAATTTTTTATTGAGAGCTACTGGTAGTGAAAGTCCATGGAGCATACAGCAGTGACAACTAGTGTTCAGAAGGCCAACCTATCAGAACTAAGGGTTCTGTTAGAGGAAACCATCATGTAAGGCGTTATGGAATTACTGCCTTTTGAATGAACTGGCTGTCTCTTGTTGTAACTTCTTGTGCAATAACAGCAATGAGTCTCCCCACTTACCATGCATCTCCATGTTGTGTGTACATGTAATCTCACGACTGCATCTCAATCTTGGGCAGAACTTTCCCTATACGTTTGGAGTAATTGGACAACTGTCCCCAGCTGAGTTTATTTTTCATTAACATATATCTGGCTAGGGCCATTCTCCAGACAAAAGTATTTCAGCAAAGATACCTTTTTCCAAGGACAAAACTGCACATAGATAAACATTAGCTCATCTCACTCACAGATAGAGAAAAGAACCACAAACAATTAAATCCTCAACCCCTTACCTTCACCCCGGGTTATTTTCACAAGACCCTAACTTAAGAGATTTTTCTGCTCACATTCCTGAGATGATGTTTTAGCCATTTGCTAGATACTGAGTTAAGGCAGTTACCTCCCACTGACCCAAGGAGATTGCCTCCAGGCCAGGCAGGCAATAGATACCAAACTTCTTTCTTGTGCAAATTAAGTTTTTATTCCTCCTCAGCCAGGTGCTATTCTGCCCCGGCCAGCAGGGTCTTCAATGAGGACCTAAAGGGAGAGCCGGGGAATGAGAGGGACAAGAGAAACAAAGAATGAGAGCAAGACAGGACATCTGATCAAGCTCCAAAATTTTATTTTTCTCTCAAGGCATATATAGGTAGGCAAAGGGGGTTGCAAGCAGGAAGGGACTTAGTAATGGGGGTTGCAAGCAGGAAGGGACTTAATTATGGGGGTTGCAAGCAGGAAGGGACTTAGTAATGGGGGTTGCAAGCAGGAAGGGACTTAATTATGGTCTGTTCAGCCAGCAGGAAATGTTGCTCTGAAGGTTATCTATCTACCCTTGTCTAACTGCCTAATTGCTTAACTGCAGCTCATTCACCTGATATCTGAGAAGAGGTTCTGGTATCTGTGGGAAGAGGTTCTGGTGCTATGGAGACTTAAGCAAAGTCTAGATCTAAGAAAAGAGCAGAGAAACCCAAATATGGCAGCATGTGTGTCAAGGTCACTTAGGCTTATGGCTCCCATCACTATTCCTAGATTTTCTCCTCAGCAATTACTCTTGAGTGAAAGTACTTTTACTAACCAAATACTACCTGCTCTGACATAGGTTGCTTAGCCACCTACCATATGTCCCCCTTCCTATCAGAAAGCAGCTGCAGCTGGGATGAGCGGGAAAAGTGGCACCAAAGACAGTTTACTTTCTTGTGACTTACTGACCCCTAACATTTTACCTAGCCATTTCTAGATTGTAGTTTGAGCACATAAATTCCCTAATGATCTTAGCCTTTAGTTGACCCTACCAGAGAACTCCCCTTTAATCACTCCCCTTTTGGGTTGTAATTGGAAGCTGACAATTAATTGCTTTATGTGTGGGTCCTTATCACCTCTCTCTGAGACCCTGAAAACTTGAAGCCTCACATTGCTTTACCAAAGAATTACTGTGTGGTTCTCTGAGAGCACTGAGAGGAGAGGATTGATAGAGAAGAACAAAGATGAGGACGGAGATGGTAAGAACTAGGTAGAATGATGAGAGAACAGCAGAAGGGACTGAGAGCAGGAGGGACTGAGAGCAGGAGGGACCGAGAGGGGCTAAGTAAGAGAGCAGAAAAGAAACTGTGTAGATAGAATCACCATAGAAGAATAAAGAGAATGGACTAAAGAACTCAGTGTGCATAGATTTATTGAATATCCCTCAGATTAGAATCCTCAGCTGGTTGATAGACTCTTCCGCGGACCCTGGGAGCAAACAATATAGGCTGGACCTAATATTGTTTGCATTAATTTTTACTATCATGTGTATGATGTGTGAGTATGTATGTATATTCCATGGTGTGCACATGGAGATTACAGGCCAACTTTGTGGAATTAGTTTAATTTTTTGACCTTTATGTGCTTTCTGGGCATTGAACTCAGGCCATCAGACTTGTGCAAGTGCTTTTACACACTTAGCCATTTCAAAGGCTTACATTTATTTTCAATTTTGAAATTAGAAATACATAGACTGAAATTAGAAATACATAGTTCAGAGATCTACTTTAGGAGCAGGTCACTGATAAGCACATTATATTTACAATCTTTACAGCACTTCTTTTAACATTGTGTAATTTTCAGAGCAGTTTATAAATTACTTAGCATCAGGCCACACTTGGTACCATTGTTTTGGTAGAATTCCACTATGGACAATTTTCTTACACTTACCAAACTATTTGTTACAAGTAAAATTTTTATTTTATATTTCACATTTACATGATTTGATGCAGGTGTACTCACATGGCCAACTAAAGACTTACATATATCTTCAAAAGAATCTTTTTTAGCGTGGTGGGTTCTATATTTTTTAATTAAACTGAGATGACAAGAGGTGTCCCCACATGTTTATATTGATATGAATTTTCTTCATTTGAACTGTTGATATTTCCTAGAAAAATCTTATGATAATGGGGCCTCCCCACATTCTATATTAGGGATTTTCTGATTTTATATTTTGAACAGGAACAAGAACATATGAAGACTTTCTCATGTTGCTTAGTCATGGTTTCTTTCCAGCGTGGAGTCCATGTATTCAAATTTTTACTTAAGAAAACAGGACTTCCCCAGAGTTTGCATTTTAGAGGTTTTCACTGCATAGTGAATTTGCTTAGTTTTTTAAGGTACTCCAAAGCATGAATTCTTTGACTCCAAGTTTTCATTCATAGGTTCCAAGTGTTTTATGATGTCAAATGGAACTGGAAAATGTAAATGCCTTCTTGCATTACTTATATGTATGGTTTCTTTCTTCTAGAGTCCATTTATGGCATTGAAGGGTACTATGGTAAAGAAAGGCTTTCTCACACTACCAACATACACAGGATTGCTATCCACTATGAAACCTTTCATGGTGTCAAAAGAAAGTGTGATACCTGAAGGCTTTCCCACATTGCTTACATACATGGGGTTTCTCTGCAGTATAAAGTCATTCATGTGTCCAAACATTACATAAAGCAGAAAAGGCTTTCTCATACTGCTTACATTCATAAGGTTTCTCTCCACTGTAAATGCTTTCATGGTTTTGAAAGGAACTGAGAGGGGTGAAGGATTGCCCACATAGCTTACATACATATGGTTTCTTTCCACTGTGAAGTTTCCTTGGCATTGCAAGTGATTTGTGAAGTCTTTATTCCATATCTTCTGCTGTGAGACTTTTCATGGAATAGAAGGGAACTGTGACTAGGGAAGGCTTTTCCATACACCTTATATACACAGGGCTTCTGTTCATTGTGAATCCTTCCATACTATTGAAGGAACTGTTATAAGTGAAGGATTTACCACATAGCTTACATATACAGGGTTTGTTTCCACTGTGAATTCTTTCATGGCTTTGAAGAGAACTGTGAGTAATGAAGACTTTCCTGCATAACTTATATAGGGCTTTTCTGCACTGAATCTTCAAATGGTAATGAAGATAAGCATGATTAGTAAAGGTTTTACCACATAGCTTGCATTCACAGGCATTAATGTCTGTATGAGTTTGTTCATATGTTTGTAAGGAACTTGACTGCACAAAAGCTTTCCTACACAGTTTACAAACATAAGATTTCTCTCCACTGTGAACTTTAGCATAATATTGAAGAGAACTGCTATAAGTGAAGGATTTCCCACACAGTTTACATATATATATATGGTTTATCTCCATTATGAACATTATGAATCCTTTCATGACATTGAAGGGAAC